CTAAATATGGCATGTGACTAAGTTCTAACCAACACGATATAAGTGGAAGAACTGTTGTGGCAGCTTCAAAGAATCTTCCTTAAAGGATAGTAAATATATACTTTTTGCCCCTTTCTTTTTTGCCCCTTTCTTTTTTGCCCCTTTCCTGCATTCTGTTGTTTGAGATGTGAATATAATGTCTTCTTGGGCATGAGGATAAGGATATACCCAAGGGACAATGGAATGACAAATGGAAAAGTCTGGGACTCTGAGGTCTGTGTAGAACAGAGCCTATCTTGGGACTTTCACATAAGAGGGAAATAACCTTTTATCTTTTTTAAGCTTTTGTTAATTTTGATCTCTGTGACAGACAGCCAAACTTAATACCAACTAATACAATAAGTAAAGGAAAATAGAATAGTAAAGAAATTCCTTTTCTTTCTTTCTTTTTCTTGGGGGGGGGAAGGGTGAGAGGGAGAGAGATAATCTTAAGCAGGCTCCACACCCAGCACAGAGCCTGACATGGGGCTTGATTTCAAACCCTGAGATCATGACCTGAGCCAAAATCAAGAGTTGGATGCTTAACCGACTGGGCCACACAGGTGCCCCAAGAGATTCCTTTTGATTGAGTTGTAGAGTCATCCCACTAAAACAGAATGAGAAGATGATTTATTCTCTAAGAAAGGAGATGAGGAGATTTTAATTACTATTCCTCCAATATAATGAGGCAGATCCAAATAATTGTGTAGCATAAATAAGAGTCTTTATAAAGGGAACTCAGCTAAGTGAATGAGCTAAATCTTTGGCATATTCACAGAATGCTGATAGTTGCTATGACGCTTACTCATGTTGAATATTTGACAGAGTACATGAGCTTACTGAACCATTAACAGGCTTTACCAAATATATGACTTTAAAACCCTTTGGACTATTTACAGTGTTGCTTTCAATCAATTCCAGGAGGCCCAAATGGAACCAATTATGATATAAGCACAGGAGACATAAAAATCAATTTCTGAAAGAGTCACAAAGAAAATCTGTAAAAAAATCATCTTAGCATAACAGGGCTAAATAATCAATGGGATATATTATATAATCACTGTCAGAAATTTGTCAGTTTAAAAAAAGTATCAAGTGGCTTGAAAGACTTAAATGTCATAGAAGACAAAGACTGAAGTGGAAGAAAGTTTTTTTTTTTATATAAATCATTGACTTAGACTACAAGATACAATATGAAAAAACGGTAAACTTTTCAGGAGCAATAAAATTTCTTACAACTGTATAGAATGACTACAATTTAAAAAAATGATGTTTTCTAAAAATTATGAATTGGGATTGGAGAAGTCTATGTGAATCACTGAAACTTCAGAGGCCTCAAATGGCTTAGAAGTTAAGTGGACTTTCAAAATAATCAAAAACTGGGGGATCCCTGGGTGGCTCAGTGGTTAAGCACCTGCCTTCGGCCCAGGGCATGATCCTGGAGTCCCAGGATCGAGTCCCACGTCAGGCTCCCTACATGGGGCCTGCTTCTCCCTGTGCCTGTGTCTCTGTCTCTGCCCCCCCCCCCCCGGTGTCTCTCATGAATAAATAAATAAAATCTTTAAAAAAATAAAATAAAATAATCAAAAACTTAGGGCACCTGAGTGGCTCAGTTAAGCATCTGCCTTCAGCTCATGTTATAATCCTAGGGTCCTGGGATGGAACCCCATGTCAGGCTCCCTGCTCAGCGGGGAATCTGCTTTTCCCTCTGCCTCTCCCTTCACTCGTGCTCAGTCTCTCTCACTCTCAAATAAATAAAATCTTTAAAAAAATAAAATAAAAAACTCCAAAGTATAAACTAATTGTCAATCTAGAAGCCTATCAGATATATTGAGCCTATCTGAAATGAGTAGGTAAAAAGATAAATAAGCTGCATCAAAAGCATAGAGCAAAAGGTATTTTCTCTAATAATCTGTAAATTTCTTTATAATCTTCTCATTAGAGTGTTTCTGAACCAATAACATAAGTAAACGGGAAATAAGAATCACAATCACAAATATTCAACCCACAGATTTTTCAGAAATTGTATATATCAAGGTACACTTGTACTTTAATTTCACATTTGTTACTGAACTTCCAATTACAAGAAAGAAAAGTTAGTTCCTTAAGGGAAAAAAATATGTCCAATTTCAAATAGCAATGGCATGTTCCTTAACTAGGTCAGGTTCCAGAGTTATCAGTTATACATCTCCATAGAGAAAATCAAATGTAAAGGGGCAGACTTTTTTCTCAGCTTTGTCTTCTCCAATGATAAATACATTTTTAACCATTATATGACATTAGTCATCTTACAAAATGAAGTCTTTATAGGAAGACACATAATCCTTTATCCCTCTCAGCAGGCCTCTTCCTAAGTGATAAATTCTTTCCTAAACTGAATTATTCAAATAAACAATAAAATGCAATAGGAGAGAAGACAAGGAAAGTTGGAAAAAAATAATGGGGAATGTTTTCCCCTTCCTTTCTTTCAAAAAAGCAGATACAAAATTGTATAATGTGCACACTATGTTTAAGTATATTTTTAATTTCTAAGATTTTTTAAGATTTTATTTATTTGAGAGGAAAGACTCCCTCTCTTTGAGGGAGACAAAGCAGACTCCCCACTGAGCAGGGACCCTGACACAGGGCTCAATCCCAGGACCCTGGGGTGATGACCTGACCTGAAGGCAGATGCCTAACTGACTGAGCCACCCAGGTGCCCCTAAGTATATTTTCTGAAGCTCTTAGGATATAATAACTGGAAGTAAATATATAATATACTAGTAACTTCATTGGGGTGGTGGAAATCAGTACTAGAGATTTCTCTTTTTTCTGTATTTCAAATTTTCTCCCACATTAGTTTTATCACTTTTATAACTGAACAGTGAAATTACAAGTAACTTAAAAGCAGGAAAAGGTTTTTGTTTTGCTTTTTTTTAAGTTATTTATTTATTCATTCATTCATTCATTCATTCATTCATTCATGAGAGATACAGAGAAAGAGAGGCAGAGACACAGGCAGAAGGAGAAGCAGGCTCCCGGCAGGGAGCCAGATGTCGGACTCTATCCCAGGACCCTGGGATCATGCTCTGAGTCAAAAGGCAGACACTTAACCACTGAGCCACCTAGGCATCCTAAAAGCAGGAAAAGTTTTTATTTTTTTAAATTTATTTATGATAGTCACAGAGAGAGAGAGAGAGAGAGAGAGAGAGAGAGAGAGAGAGAGAGAGAGAGGCAGAGACATAGGCAGAGGGAGAAGCAGGCTCCATGCACCGGGAGCCCGACATGGGCCAAAGGCAGGTGCCAAACCGCTGCGCCACCCGGGAATCCCAAGAATACTTATTTTGTGCTATGACTGAATGCTTCATCTAGAGGCTTGCCGTCCGAAATACTAATAGAATCTCAGGCCTCAGCTCAAATGTACAGAACCTACATTTTAATATGATTTCTAAGTGTTCATATGCTAGTGAAGCACTGTTACAGAGTATCCATCTAAGAATAAACACCTGTGTTGATTCCTTTCTAAGTCCTTCCTATATGTTAGTCTACAATGATGATATTTTTGGAGTTACCTGTTAGATTTATTCATGTAATTCAGTAAATACTGACAACAGTATTGACAACAGGAGAAAATGAAAATAGGAATATATTAATCACACCATTACATTTTGGGTAATATTTTAAAGGAAAGCATAGGTCCAAATTTCAAACCCAAGCCATCATTCCCTATTACATTAACCACATCCACTGAGACGAATCAAAAGCACAATATGAATATATCAGAGAATCTTTTAATAAAGGTTAAACCCCACTAATGAGGAAACACTAGAGGGTGTTTAGGTTAGCATAATATTGCAGTTCTAGAATGCCTGAGTAAGCCCTGCCTCTATCTTATTAAGGCATTTTAGCAATTTTGACTGTTCATTTACTTTGAAATGTCCATTTTGGGCAGGCTTTCTCAATCTCAGCATTATTGTCAGTTCGGGCTGGATAATTCTTTGTTGTGGAGGCTGTCCTGTGTATCTTAGGAGGTTTAACATCATTCCTGGCTCTGCCTACTAGATGTCAGTAGTATCTCCCCAGCTGGTACAACCAAAAATGTTTCCTACATTGCCAAATATCCTCTGGCGGCAATCCCTCTGCTGCAACCCCCAATGAGAAACAATGATCTAGGAAAAGAACAATCATAAGAAAGGGGTCTTGTTAATATAGGTCAATGATCTTACTTGGGATTTTCCCAAAAAGACTCGGTAAAGAGTATAACTGAGTTTATAAATTATAGACAAATTTGTGAGCTTTGTTTTGAAAGCTCCATGAGAGAAAGGGCTAATAAGTCTGTTTTTTCTGGCTATTGTGTTCGCACCAGTTTCTGGCCTGTGATAGTGTTTGACAATGTTTGTTAAATGAACTAAACATGTAGATACTATACTCTCAGTATTGGGCAATCAATTACTATTAAATTTTCAGGTTAAACTATCATATTTTCTACAATGTGTGTTGTCATTTCTTAAATGTATTTCACTCACTTTAATGACAAAAAATTATACTAGTTAAGTCACTTCTAAAAATTAATTATTAAAAACTATAATGTAACCACTATATCCAAACCAATTATGACTCTTAGGAGAGCAAAGGGAAACAAGAATAATGCCATGGAAAATTATCATAAGAAAGAAAGCCCCAAGAGGAATCTGTGCTGAAGATCTAGGAGCTCAGGGAACTACTATTTAAAGAAGAAAGAAGTTTGGGTTGCCTGGGTAGTACAATCTGGCTAAGTGGCTACCTTCAGCTCTGGTCATGGTCTCAGGTCCTGGGTTTGAGCAGGGAGTTAGGCTCCTTGCTCAGCAGGGAGTCTGTTTCTCCCTCTCCTTCTCCCTCTGCCCCTCCTCCCACTCATGCATGCACACTCACTCTCTTCCCGCCTCTCTCTCAAATAAAGTCTTTAAAAAAAAGATTTAAAGAAAGAAGAAATTTTAAGCTTTGTAAACCTTTTTGTACAGATGCTTTCTCTTTGCTTGGTTTTTTGTTCACATCTCATCTTAAGGCTTCACAGTGTTCTCCAAATAATCTAGACAAGTAGTTTTTTGGCACCACAGACTCACTTTCAAAATCTGATGAAATAAATGGCTATTATGCATCAACTGGAGGAAAAAGAAAAAGAAAAAACATCTGATGAACTCTTTTCCTAGGAAAAGGCACTCCTATACAAACATTACCATATAATTTCAGGGAGTTTGTGAACCTCCTACTGATGGACAATGGTTTCTCTTATTCCTGCATGTGTTGTCCAAACCATAAAATGTAGTAATGCCATGAGCAACTCAACAAAGGAAATCTCATTTCAAATGGAGTCAGGAGACCAGAAGGGGAGCTTTCACACCCTACCACCCAGTCTCAATTATAGACCCCAACACGAAGATGCCTATAATTTCCTACCCCAACAGGTAGAAAATTTTCTCTTTACTTAGCAACAGCCCAAAGAGAGACTGTTACAGCTCAGCCAGTGAAAAATCACCACACTTGAAGCTTCCAATTTACCCCAGCAGACCTTTTGTTTATAACAGCTCCTTCCAACTCTCTCTTATCCTCTCTAAAAGAGCATCCCTCTCCTTTGTTCTCAGAACTTGCCTATGGTTTACCATAACTTACATATCTTGAATTGCAATTCTTCTGTTATTCCCAAATAAATCAATACTACATGTTTTATGGTTGCGGTCAACTTCAAGTAAGTGTTGAGATTTAGTTTCTCATCCAAATTGAAACAGTCAACTGACAACTGTATGGTGATTCTGAAGATCTCATAGAGTAGGTGACAAAAGTGCTTATAAAATGTAAAGATCTGGGCAGCCCCGGTGGCCCAGCGGTTTAGCACCACCTTCAGCCCGGGGTGTGATCCTGCAGACCTGGGATCGAGTCCCACGTCAGGCTCCCTGCATAGAGCTTGCTTTTCCCTCTGCCTATGTCTCTGCCTTTCTCTCTCTGTGTGTGTGTCTGTCATGAATAAATAAATAAAATCTTTAAAAAAAAAAAAAGGAAATATCTCCCCAATCAGATTATAAAGAGTAGGCACTATATATTTTAACTCTCCCGAATATTGTCTAGTGTCCAATAAAACTAAATGAATGTTTCTTAATGCCTATCTCAAGCAAGGAACTCTGTCTTATTTCCATAGTCGAGGGTGGTGACAGAAGTTAACACTTCTAACCTGCATCCAAAAATAACATAGAGAAACCAAACACTACTTGCTTCACAAAAATTTTACTCACCTAGTCCTATCTTTGTAAGTCATCTATTAGTTCTGTAGCTCCTGTGGTAAGCTAAACATCTGTAAACATGAAAGGTCTGGAAATTATGAATTGAAAAGAGACAGAAAAAAAATCATCAAAATTTTATCCCTCAAAGGTTCTATCTGGCTAAATTCTTTGAATTAGGTTGTTAAGCTTTGATGCAAAGAAAAGGAACTGTTTGGAAGATCAAGCCAACTGATAACAGGTGTAAGGATCCATAAGCTCTTTGCATAACTTCTTCAATAAATGTTTCATGGGGAATTCTACAGTAATTTTTATTTTCAGGCGTAAAATTGTGGCAAATTACGAATACCACAATGGATAACATTCCCCAGTTCTATTAGAAGACATGGGGCTCTGGAAAATACTACCCGCTTTTGAAGTCCAGTTCAAGTCACCATTTCATGAACTCTATCTATCTATCTATCTATCTATCTATCTATCTATCTATCTATCTATCATCTATCCATCTATCTATTTTAAGATTTTATTTATTTATTCATGAGAGACAGAGAGAGGCAGAGACATAGGCAGAGGGAGACGTGGGCTCCATGCAGGAAGCCTGATGTGGAACTTGATCCTGGGACTCCAGGATCACACCCTGAGCCAAAGGCAGACGCTCAACCACTAAGCCACCCAGGCATCCCATTATGAACTCTTTTATTAACTGGTCTCATTTCCCTTGACTGAGTTGTGTAGTATTTTTGTTCATAGTTGTTTGAGTCATGTTATCATATATTTTACTGGTCAGAACTGCATATACAGTACCCATCTTATCTCCTCATCCAAACCAGGTTCTGTGCAGTGTATCTGTGCAGCACAGAGTAGCTACATATTTAGCACTTGCTAAAGGATAGGTGAAATAGAATAAAGTTCTATGACTAATCTAGGACTCAATTTCTTCTATAAAAACAATACTAATAATCCCACTACCCCAATGTCTGATAGATCACATCAACATGAATGTGATGACAGAAGGCCTCTAATAGTTTATACAGGAAGAAAGTAGGCCACTCTTCTCATAGTTGGGAGCCTGTTCCTTGGAGGTCCTATACACAAATGAGCAGAAGCCTGTTCTCTCACCAGACTGTATTTTTGATAGATGATGGGAGAAGGAATGGGACTAAAGTCCTGTTCTGTCACTTTTTACTTTTCTTCGATACTGGCTGCTACATCATAATGCTTGTTTCACACTTAAAAAAAAAAAAAAAAAAAAAGAATATAAAAAAAGAAACAGTAATTCCAGTCCTTTAAAATCTATTTTGCAAAGATGCCAAGACAACAAAGAAGGCACTTAAAATCAGCAAGCACTTTGGAGTTTGCACTATGCAAACAAAATATATTTAAGAACTACTTTCACGGGCAGCCCGGGTGGCTCAGCGGTTTGGCACCGCCTTCAGCCCAGGGCGTGATCCTGGAGACCCGGGATCGAGTCCCACATCGGGCTCCCTGCATGGAGCCTGCTTCTCCCTCTGCTTGTGTCTCTGCCTCTCTCTCTGTATCTCTCTGTGTCTCTCATGGATAAATAAATAAAATCTTTTTTTTTTTTTTAAGAGAGCTACTTTCACATTTCTAACTTCTGTGCCTAATTTCCAATTTAAATTGGTACTTTTTAAAAATGAGGCCATCAAAGAAATCAGTAAAAAATATCAAAGCAAAAAACTGAAATCAACATAAAGCAAAAGCAAGAGATTAACCAGGATGTAGATTAGAAAGTTATCAGAAATAAGATGAAGACTTCTCCCTTCAAAATGGCACCTCTTCTCTACCTGATATTGCAAAGACTAACTGGAGAGAATGAAGCTCTGTTACGTAGCCAAAAATTCAGGTAAATCTGCAAATTAAAATCTAGTCTTCCTTAATCATAAGGAAGGAAAAAAATAAACTGGGCTACAAATTTGCTGCCAAAATTGACAAAAGTTTTAGAATTTAATTATTAGTATATTTAATACAAATAAGAGCAGCCAAAAGGCAGAAAGAACACCTGGAAATTAGCAGCAAGAAGTCCATAAAAACAGCAAAGACCAAAACCTTACTACTTGAGAATGACAGTTTTTCTGTGGAAAATGTTTTGATGCCCCTTCCCTCTAGAGAAACAAAAATATTCTAGAAGTGATATTATAAATATTCCTAAATGCCATAATGAATTCTACAGAGCTATTGTGAACAATAACACTTAGTATTTAAGACATGGTTTAAAGGGTCATTTAAATAAGTATTTTGTTTTCTTTCCCATTATTCAGGCTCTACCTACACACAAATGTACACACACTCTGCTAGTTACTCTGGTAAAAATCTATAAATCTGCAATCCCTTCTATAAGTCAAACCAATGAAGGCTCATCAAAAATCATAAGCTGGGGATCCCTGGGTGGCGCAGCGGTTTGGCGCCTGCCTTTGGCCCAGGGTGCGATCCTGGAGACCCGGGATCAAATCCCACATCGGGCTCCCGGTGCATGGAGCCTGCTTCTCCCTCCGCCTATGTCTCTGCCTCTCTCTCTCTCTCTCTCTGTGACTATCATAAAAAAAAAAAAAAATCATAAGCTGAAATAAGTATTCAAGAAAAAACTGATGCAGAGTCTAGCCAGAAATAGGTAGGAAAACAAAATACACATACTCAAAAAACCCATCACAATATATTTAGGGGAAAAGAATGACTCAATGCACCTATGATTATTAAAAGTTATTATACTTACCTTGGAAAATTATATAGGACCGTCTTTTAAATAGCTTACTCCATATTCATCCTTAAGCTTCTTCTCTCAATCTCTGCTTAGACAAAGTACAGTTGACTCTTGAACAACATGAGTTTGAAGTGCATATCCACTCATATGCAGATTGTTTTCAATAAATATGCATATGGTACTATAAACATATTTTCTCTCCGTTATGAATTTAATAATACTTTCATTTTCTCTAGCTTACTTTACTGTAAGAACACAGTATGTAATACATATAATCAAATATGTGTTAATCAACTGTTATTGGTAAGGCTTCTGAACAACAGTAGGCTATTAGTAGTTAAGTTTTTAGGGAGTCAGAAGTTATACACAGATAAATGACTGTATGGGCGGGCTGGAGCCCCTAACCCCAGCATTGTTCAAAGGTCAGCTGTAGTTCTAAGATTTTGGTGGGGAGTTCTCCATTTAGGGAACTAAAATTTTGGGGAGAATGAGTTAGGCAATCCTTACCCAGAATTATTAGCCTCTCATAACATCTAGCCATTCTTCTGCTCATTAATGCAACAAGTTTATATTTGGTATCACTATAGCTGATGAAGTCATAAGTACCTGTGATTCAACAAGAAATAAGAATAGCATAATTCCTACTTTTGTGGCCCTTAAAGTCTGGTGAGACATAGTAAACAAGCGACTACAAATGATTTAGGCATTATAAAAAGGGAAAGAGAGGAGCCTTAGAAGGTATTATAAGGGTAACTAACCCAGACAGGGAAGTCAAGGAAAAATGTCCATAACCAAAGGACATCTGAGATACAAAGGATGAAGAAGACTTAATAAGCGATTTTGTGCACACCAATGAAGGAAGAGCATGCAAGAGGTGCCAATGGCCATGCCAGCTGGGCAGCAGTGCTTGCCAGCCAGTTGCTGAGCTCTTTGAGGTACAATAGAGCCTATGAGATGAAAGAAGGCTATCCTGACGTTTTCCAAAAACACACCTCATATAGGATGGCTGTGACAAAACCAATAGGAGCACAACCATATGTAATGAGCATATCAGCAGCTGCAGATGAATGCTCATGTTCATAACTATGGTGGTTAAAAAGTCTTCATTGCCTCAAAGGTATATAATTTTAAGGAAAAATGAAGAACTGGTCAAGAAGACATGAATTGAAGCAGATGATAAAAATTAATATTTAACACTGATCACCTCACAATAAGTTATATAGAAAAATACATGTTTGAATACTTTGTTTGCTGGACAATAAAGTCTATTATCTCTATTTTTTTTTAAAGAATAAATTAGGCTATGTTTCCCAGGATAAGCAACTATACTTCTTCCCGGCTATTCATATGAAGAATAATAGTACTCTTTCACTTTCTCTCTTACACCAATTTATCATCCTTGTTTCTAGGTTCATGGTGTGTGAAGCCCTAGGACATCCTGAACAGCATGTATATATGAGCAGGAAGGAGACCACTACAGAAAAGTCCATTCTGCCACTGTTTTCAATTATTTGGTAGGCAGATTTAGAAATAAAATTCAAGTTAACAAATTTAGTAAAGGACAGAGGAAATAGGACATACTTTTAGCATATGAGACACCACAAAATGGCAACAAAAAAATTCAAAAACCTTTCCTTATGGAATTTAAAACGGATTTCAGAGAGAATTATTTCTAAAAATGCATAAAGGCACAAAGAACTGAAAAGAGGATGGCTAACAAAGAAATATGAAATAAGGCAGTGAACTCAAGTCTGAGAATTTAAAGAGACACCTTAGATCACTGGGCCATTGTTAAGTAGAGGCATCTTCAGTCAACAATTACTATTCTTGTTTAATCTCCAAATCGTGAAGATATAAACTATGCCCTCTGCCTAACACTATAACCAGTATCACTGGCTTAGCTAGTATTCCCAAAGGCTCTTGACTCATAGGCAAACCTCAAGATGATGGATGACAGGGTTTTAATCTCTCTGAATAAAACTGTGTGTGTTTAGTAGGTTAAAGACTAAACATTCAGTGTTCCTTAATCCAAAGTTAAAGAATACCTGACAATCTTCTCAAATGTCTAAATCTTCAGGGCAGCCCGGGTGGCTCAGTGGTTTAGCACCGCCTTCGGCCCAGGGTGTGATCCTGGAGACCCGGGATCAAGTCCCATGAAGGGCTCCCTGCATGGAGCCTACTTCTCCCTTTTTTTTTTTTTCCTACTTCTCCCTCTGCCTGTTGTCTCTGCCTCTCTCTCTGTGTGTCTCTCATGAATAAGTAAAATCTTTTAAAAAACATAAATTTTTTTTTAAAATGTCTAAATCTTCAAATAAAAATAGGTTTGGATTATTGTTTGGCCTTAAAAATAAAATGAGGTATTTTAATTTCTTGTAAATACCTTCAGACTGTAAAAGCATTGACTGGCTTAATATCTCACCTTCATCGAAGAGTTGTTTTTACAAGGCATTACTCCAGTGCCAGCATATAAAATACATGAAAACAGCTCAGGAAGTTTATTAATAAACTCCTTTTATTAATAAAACAGGAAGAAAACATGTATCAATTTTACAAATATAATTTATTAAGCAAAGAAAACTAGAAGTATTTTTCATTATAAACAAATCAGAGACCCAAAATGTTTGATCTAGAAATAGAGAGTCATTTAAAATAAACTAAAGCTATAAGTAAAAGAAATTTCAGGTGAAGCACATCATATGTTAGATGATGACATCTACGGACTACATACAATATTGCATCACTACATTAGTCATGGATATCTGAGGCAAGAGCAAAGTTTTCGGTGGTGTGTGGAGAGGCCACTTCTAGGCAACAGGCTTGGGCAATGGAATGTAGAAAGGGCCCACAGAGACCCCTTGGCTAAATACAGACAAGTCCATCAGGTGATCCACCTCAAAATATCCAGAGGTCCTAACTAACCAATGGGTTACTTACAACCAGGCACAGTCCCCCAAAAAGGGAAAATTCCATACATGGCTATAACTCCTCCCCTCCCCTCTTGAAAAAAAAAAAAGCCCCCACCCACTGCCTCATTGTAGTCTCTTCTTTGCTATCCTGCCACATTACCCCCCTCCCCCACCTGCCCAGCCATTCCCTTGCAGTGTATTCAATAAACTTCAATCTCCTTTGTTCTGCCTCAGGTAAATTCTTTCATGGCCTGCACCACCAACCCCCCAAACCAGTCAGGAGACACCACAGTGTGGACCAAAAAGATCTCAATAATTTCTTAGGGATAGAGAGGATAGCAGTGTGAAGAGGAGGATGGTGATCAACGGCCAAGGAAAAATCTCATATTAAAGAACATAACACAAACAAGAAGCAGGCTGACAGGGATGTACTACTACTCGCAGCAAGACAAATCAATGCTGGGCATATATAAATCCAAGGATGCCAAACTTAACTTTTTTCTTGAAATATTTTAATTTAGGGGTGCCTGTGTGGCTCAGTGGGTTAAGCATCTGCCTTTGGCTTATGTTGTGATCTCAGGGTCCTGGGATTGAGCCCAGTATAAGGCTCTCTGCTCAGTGGGGAGCCTGCTTCTCCCTCTCCTGCTCTCCCTGCTTGTGCTCTCCCTCCCTGTCAAATGAATAAATAAAATCTTTAAAAAACTGCATCAAAATACATAATAAAAATACTGTTAATAGTAGTTATTCTCAAGAACTGAGAAATCTGAAATGGTTTTGAATTTTGTTATAGAATTAATAATAATAACTATGAGGTTTCTTTTGCCAATTTTCTGTGATCTGTCTCATTGTTATTGTTAGAAAAAAAAAGATTTGTTGGCAGCCTTTCTTACAACTTGATGTCTAATGGAAGATAATGACTATTTAAAAACATACTCATACACACATACACACACACATTTGTGTGTGTGTATGTTGAAAATTTTATATTGATTTTCTTTTAGCTTCTAAGAACATAAGTAGATAGATAAAGTTTAGTTTGGGGAAAACTTTTATTTTTCCCTACATTTCCAAGAGGAATCAATTTCAGGAAGCTTGCATTCATTCATTTTCAATCCTTGAAAGGCTAGAAAATTGTACCTGAAATTGGATGTTACTCTGTATAGTTGGGTTGGATGCCATACCTTATCTTTATTCTTTCCTTTAAGCAGAGAATTTCAGCTTCTTCAGAAAACCATCCCTAGCCTGCATATCTATTTAAATCCCATAGCTTGTGAAATCACAGGGACAAGCATAAGGGTAGATCCTATTCAGAAAAGGCTTGGTAATTGTGTCTTAGCCTTAAAGAGAAGAGCTTTTGTTCTTCTCTTTCATCTAATGGAGTATTAGAATGACTTCTTTTTAAGGAGTTGATTAGCCAACTTGATTCGGAGAGGAAGTAAGAATAACATTATAGGGTAGTTCTGGCTAACTTTTTAGCTCTTATAGAGTACATGGTTAAATATCAAGGAAGTAAGCTGCTCCTTGCATTACATAACCTGAGTTGGACAGCCCAAGTTACAATTTTGAGCACAGTCAACTAGTTTCTGGTAGGTAATTATGGACATAAAGGAAAGTAAAGTTCTATCTGACAGAGGAATAGATCTACCTGCTTATTCAATGTTAAATGTAAGATACGTCAGAAGAGTAGTATTTCCTATCTTCTGGAAGTTAACAAAATTAAATATCTAAAATGAAAATATTATTTTTCTATATCTAAAACTCTTTCTACCAAACCAAAAAAAAAAAAAAATCCTTAGAACCAGGAATTCTATAGTTAAGAAACTTAACTGGTCAGTTATTTTCTGGCACAGTGATGTGTAGTTTTATTGATCAAAAGTCCTCCTGGGAGAAATTTAGCAATTCCATAATAATTTCAACAATGGCCATTTGCTGAGTACCTCCATGTGCCAATTCTTAAAATAATATTTTAAGGTATATTAACTGAGGAATTAAGGTTCAGAGACGTTAAAATAATGTACTCAAAGTTGTTCAACTCAAGGGGATAGAGGGTTGAACACAACTGTCCCTAGCTAGTACAACTCCTATTCTTTCTCCTATTCAATTTTTAAAACTACTATCTGAAAACATTTCTATGAGGGAGACAGAACTATTTTTATTTTATATATGAAAAACTCAGAAAAAAAAACTCAGAAAAATATGGCAAATGATTTGCCTATACTATGAAACTAGTTAATGGGATAGCCAGAAATAGATCTTAAGTTTCCTAACTCTTAGGTCTTACTACAAATATGATGGTTTCAAATT